TTCTTCTTCTTCTTCTTCTTCCTCTTGTTGTTCTTCTTCTTCTTGTTCTTCATTCTTGTTGTTGTTGTTGTTCTTCTTCTTCTTTTTATTATTATTAGTAGTAGTAGTAGTAGTAGTAGTGGTATTGTTGTTGTTGTTAGGGTGGTGCAGAGGATCAGCGGGTAGTGTCGCCGCCTCACAGCTCCAGGGTTCAATCCTGAACTTACTGGGTTATGTGGAGTTTCTGTGCATGTTCTCCCCATGTCTGTGTGGGTTTTCTCCAGGTTCTGCAGTTTCCTCACATCTCCCAAAATACATGCCATGGATCAGTTACACTAAATTGCCCATAGCTGTGAATGAGTGTGTGCATGTTGCCCTGCGATTGACTGGCATCCCATCTAGGTCCAGAGTTACCAGGATAGACCCAGGATCCATTGCAACTCTGACCAGGATAAAGCATTACTGAAGATGAATGAATGAGTGCATCATGTTATTTTTGTTGTTGTTGTTCTTCTTCTTCTTATTATTATTATTATTATTAGTAGTAGTAGTAGTAGTAGTATTTAAGTATAATAAAAAAAAAAAGAAAGGAAAACTTTTTTTGAATAAAATAATAATTTTAAAAAAATGGTAAAAAGCAGGTCAGTGATGTCTCATTGATGGGCAGTGGCAGCTCAGCAGTGGTAGCTCAGCAGATTCTGGATTACTGATTGAAAAGGTGAAAGTTCAAATCCCAGCACTGGCAAAGTACCACCTTCCCTCAACTGCTCCACGATTGTTGTCCCATAATGCTGACCTAGTGATCTGACCACAACTTCCTTCCAAGGTTGGATATGTGAAAAGCAAAATTTTGTGTATATTTTTCTTTTATTTCATGACAGTTAAATAGAAACATAACAACAACCAAAATAGAATTATAAACAAACTGAATGCATAAGTGTTGAATACAGTTTCAGATTATTTTAAGTGTCTGTGGATTACAGGGTATTCAGGTAAAGAATCCCAGTGTAGATTGCTGTTTGATTATATTGAAGGCCTTTCAGGGAAGTATCTAACAATCATTTCTTGGAAGACAAGGCAGAAATAATAAATAAATAAATAAAATTAGATTAATATCAATTCTAAAAGATACACATTATCAGTGGAGGGATTTATGAACAAGTGATGTGCTCCATTTTCCTGGTGTGCATCTCTATTCTGGCAGCAGCATTTTAAACTCTTTGTAACTTCGTGTTACAGCTCTTATATGCTGTAACACAGACTATTGTATAGTGTGTGGTAATGCCACACAGATTAGAGGCTGTTACAGTAATCTGAGTTCTAATCTATTCACAAAGGCACGTGTTTTTCTCTCTGTCCTTAGAGATATTATAGTGGTGATAATATAGTGTTTTGCAGACATAAGAGTTGGTTTTTTTTTTTTTTTTTTTGTCAAAGTTGAGGTCACTGTGAATAATTCTTTCTAGGTTATTGACGTAGTTTTTGGCCTTCAGAGGCAGGGAGTCAAGATAGGTCGGTATATCTTTCCTCCCAGTAATAAGAGGCTCCCTTATCCTTATCTAGCTACATAAAATTATTGCACATCCACAAGTCTAAGCAGGGAGCTGGCAGACCACTCGACATCCGGCATTAAGTATATTTATACTGTGATCTGTATGTAGACGTAAACAAATATTTATTTTGTTAATTATACCAGCTAGTGGAAGTATATATTGATTGAAAAGTCAAGGAGCAAGAACAGAACCTTTTGGTGGTGCTTGAAAACAAGAGTACCCATCACAACATAGTATTCCTGACCATTTAAATAGGATATAAACTAATCTAAAACTTTGCCTGGGTAGAATAAGAAAGGACAAGCAGAGGTATAAGAAGCTATGAGATTGGATGACTCTTCCCAATGAGGTGGTATACAGTGAGACAAGGAGAGGACCAAGCACAAATTTTTTGAAGTATTCCAGTCACCTGTAATTTCCTGGACTCCTCACTCCTTCATGGCACCCTACAAAACCAGCAGTAATGACAGGCAATGAGAAACTGATAGTTCATACTTTGCTAACCCAAGTTTATGTCTTCTTAATGATGATTCTGGTCTCTGTATAAGCTTAATACAAAAGAGAATGTTGTTTGCTGGTTTTACGGCTGCGAAGAAGACAATAATACAGAACTGGTTTACACCGCACATGTGTGGAAAAACATATTGGATCCATAGCCTCCTGAAATTAGTGACTCGTGAATGTACAACAGCACGAATTAATAAGGCCAAACCTAGTACTATTGATGCTTGGTAATGTTTTTTCCATTAACATACTCGATTATATAAAGGAATGATTTGATTTGTTTTTTTCTTTTTTTCCCTCCCTTTCTCTCTCCTTTTTGACTGGACTCTTTAAATTATTGATTATATGTCTGTTGTTTTTTTGTTTTGTTTTGTTTTGTTTTGCTTTGAATGGATGTTATGATGTTATGTTATATGTAAAAGACAATAAAAAGTTGATCACAAAAAAAGAAACTGATAGTTCACACTATTAAAAGCTTCAGTTAGTTTTAGCCCAAATATTCAGGATACTTGCATTAAGTGTAAACAGGACAAAGCTACATTATTCCATAGTGTGTGGTAATGCCCAGTGATCCTGGGTTTCTGGAAATGGGTGATTCATTTAGTCTCACTGATTATTGAGAAGAATATCCCTCCTAGTCAGAAATGATGCATTCTCCATACTTAGATTCTCTATATCTTATCAGATGGAGGCAAATCTACTAAAAAAGAATCCTTCCTGATTTTCCTGTCTTTGAAGCCAAGAGGGAAATAGCTCACTCCTGGAAAAAGGAGGAACATCCTAGTGTATCACAGTGGTTAAAGGAAATGACATCATTCCTTGCATTAGAAAATAACATATTTTGTTAAGGTCATTAAATGGATTTAGAGAAATAGAGGCTACCTTCCTAATCCTTTTAGGAAAAAAAAATGGAGAATGTTGACTTGGATGATTGATTAATGATCTCATCCTGCTATTGTGCACATATTTAGCCTGCTGTGCTGAGAAGCCTTATGTGGAACAAAAAAATACAAAAAAATGTGGATCTAACTACGTTGTATCTGAAATGCATAAGATGGACATCATGTACCCCCCCCCTTTAAAGTTATTTTTTTGTCTTTCACTCACTCTTCCCTCTATGGATATGGAAGATTATGGGAAAATATAGGAAAGTTCTTCTTCTTTTTGTTAAAGGATAATCTGTCTTTATAGTCATGGTTTTGAATCCTGTCATTATAATCTATGAATAGCCCATAAAGGGAAAAAAAGCTTTAGATAGAAGAAAACTCTTTCTGGTCACAGGATATCTATTGCAGTCACTGTGGTGTGATTGCCCTTGAGTACAGATTGTTTGGTGTCTGGCAGCTTACAAATGAACTTGATTTAAAACATTGTGTTCTAAAGAGGATATTTTTTCCAATATATAATTAGTACAAGGGAAACCGGTCTGTAATTCTGCTTGTGACTGGGCGAGTGTTGATTTCTTGAGCATTACAGTTACCAAAGTTTGACTGAATTTGCCTGTTGGAAGTCATATGTTGAGTGATGTGTGTGAGTGCAGAGATGACAGGGTTTCCAGATAATAAAGCTATTTTTAGCCAGTGACCTGGAAGCACTGTATTTCTTATTCACCTTATTGGGACTGTGATTTAACAAGACCAGAATGGTCATGTCTGTGCTTGTTCAGACATATACACCAGCTGTAAAGCACGTTTATCAGGCAACAAGCAATGCAGACTGTGAACGCCATAGGGACACATGAATCATTTTACTGATTCGATTCTTTTGACCAGCAGACACGTGCTTCCATATTGTAATATTTCTGCTTGCTACTCTGTTTAAGTAGTAAGAGTAGCAAGCAGAAATATTACAATATGGAAGCTAGACATACAATCTTATCAAGAATCGTGTGTGTGGTGAAATCTGAACTCGACTGCTAGTGAATCGATTCACTAGTGAATCTGCCCACGAATCACACGAATGAGTCAGCCACATTGAACGACTCGCTTGGCAGCTGTACCATGACCAGAGCACAGGCTTGCAGGAAACTGTCAGTGCGGTTTTACCGGATAACGACGGTAAGCTTTTCTGTTCCATTTGATATATACAGCAGTATGTGTGGTAAATATATCGTGTAAGTAGAAAATGCAAGTACATTTTAAATGAGTTGATATCAAACAGCACCAAACGCTGCAGCAGTGTAACAGCTCCCACTTTGCCACATGCTGTTAGTCCATTATAGAGGAAGTGATAGTTAGTTAATCTTCTGAGTCACGCCGTGTGATTACCTGGACAGTATTATAGATATTAGGTGCATTATATTATTAATCACCTTTCTTGAAGAAAACCAGTTGATCAGGAAGATTCCAGTTGATTAGATCTAGATTGGACATGTGTGCAGCAGGTGTGGAGACAGACAGCAGACTCCCCAAAGCCTGCATGAACTGCTGTTTATCAAAAAAAAAAATCTAAACTCAATGAACTGCAATTATGCAACTGCACCTTTGATACCAAAATTTTTGGAGAATTACTTTTTTTTTTTCATACATTTCCAGTAACTGCTTTTTCCTGGTCAGGGCCATGGTGGATCCAGGGCCTGTCCTGGGAACACTGGGCAGGAATACACCTTGGATGGGAAGGCAGTTAATTTACATACAACACACAGATAATTTAGAGTCACCAAGTCTAATATGTTTTTTGGGAGGAAGGAGGAAACTGGATAGCCCTGAGGAAACGCATGAGGACATGGGAGAACATGCACACAATCTCCACACAGACAGTACCCGAGCTCAGGATCAAACCAGGGACCCTGGAGCTGTGATATACATATATATATATATATATATATATATATATATATATATATAAAATGTATATGTAATGATCATTTTATTTACAGACCACTTGGTGGAATGCAAGGAAAATAGTCCATGTAGACTATTTTTGTCTCTATCATTTGTGTATACTATCATATCGTTGTCTGGGTCCCTGGAGGGCTAGTGGTTAGGCCTCGGTGCTCTCACTGTTGTAGCGAGGGTTTGATTCCCAGCCAGGGAACCAAACCCAGCCACTGGGATTGCACAAGACAGTGCACTCCCAATGCTGGTCCCAAGCCCTGATAAAATTTGGGAGGGTTGCATGAGGAAGGGCTTCCGGCGTAAAATAAGATGTGCCAAATCAAATATGCGGACCAATGATAAACTGTTGCGACCCCTAACGGGCGCAGCCGAAAGAAGAAGAATCAAAACTTCATATCATTGTTGTCTCTTTCTATAACTAACAGGGGTGAGAAAGCAAAAACAGCCTCAGTTGTGATGAAGTGTGACATTTTGGGGAACTCAGTAACAGCTGGAAAGAGGAACATGACTTTAGTCAAAAGTTGCAGCCGAAGTTGTAGGAAAAAGGCTGCTTGACTGACCTAAAATTGTATCAAAGATCAGGCTTTTATTTCAATTTTTTATTTTATTTCAAAGGCTATTTATGTTCAATTTGCTTTTATTTCCTTACCTTCTCTTGTGCAACTTTTCAGAAGTGCCTCTTTTAGTAGCCATGAAGAGGCCGAACCAAACTCACTGTACAGACTGCTGGTTCAAAAGTGTGATCTGTTTTATCTTGTTTCTCCTTGCTGTGTCTCTCCCTGATAACTCAGATCTCTCTGTACTATCACCCTGGAGCATCCGGTGAAACACCAGCAACTGTGACTGTGGTATGAAAACGGCTGTGTGAAGCTCATAGCAGGCTGTAAACAGTTTCTGAAGACTCAGTGTTGCAGCAGAGCACGATGCTGGGATGTGATGGGGAATCAGGAACAAGGGTTCGATACAAACTGACCCTTTTTACAGGACTGCTGGAGTGCCTGTGCTTTGCTGGGGTTGTGTTTGGTTGGGCTTCTCTTGTATTCGTTCTGAAGACAGATGGATACTTTAATGATCTGTGTGTCAATGTGACTGAAGCAAATGGCACAACGGATAAAGGTGAGAATGGAAAATATGTTTCTGGTATTTTCAAGCTTAGCTTATAATGCTGGGTATCAGGTCTTGGTGTTGTCGTCACATCTGTTAAAATTTAGTTTTGTTAGGAATGTAGATTGTCTAAAGCTAAAAACTCACCTTAAGACTACAAACATATTTATAGAGAAATGTAGTGATGTGACTGTCACATAATGTTTCGCTATATAATAACTATATATACATTTGACAATGCATTTTTATTATTTATTTGTTTCTCTCTCTCTCTCACACACACACACACACACACACACTGTTACTCCCCTAGACTGCAGTGCTCAGGATGAGCAGTTCTCTCTTATCTTCACTGTTGCTTCCTTCATGAACAACTTTCTCACTTTCCCCAACGGCTTCTTTTTTGACCTGTATGGAACGATGGCTACAAGACTTCTGGCAATGTGAGTTCAGTAAAATTACACAATGGGAAATGACACCCACCAGTGACAGGAAAACATATTGAGAAATAGTGGTATAGATAATTCAGTATGTAAAATAACACATTAAATGTGGAGTGTTCAAACAGTCAAATCATAACGATGCCACAATCATCCATGGCCAGGAGTCCAAGAAAGCATAATCCATACTTTGCTGTCTGGGTGTGAAGATTGTCTTGTTTGCATGTTCGATTAGTCCAGTGCTTGCCACTCACAGGATATACAGAATAGGCCAGTTAGTGCACTCCTCTAAGCACATTCAGTTATGATGTCGGGTGATAAATAGAGAAGTGGTGACTGCCTTAAGAGGAGGAAGCAGCTTAGCCTTGGGTCTACTGAAAGTGGTAGATGTTGTCTGATGGTGAGAGATGTTGATAATGTTGAAACTGGGAACTGGCAACAACTAAATTGGGGGAAAATTTAAAAAAGAAAAAACAGCATTGTACTCAAAGGTCTTGGTGTTTTCTACTTGAGCTTCCATAAATAAATGCATAAAATGTTAATTGGGCTGCAACATTAATTGGGTGCATCGCTTAAACCTACCAAGATCACATGTGCCACACACTGTGCTACAGACATTAAAAGTAATTATGTAATTAATTAATTAATCAATACGTAATTAATTATAAAGTAAATAACAAACCAACAAATGAGACCCAACATAATGTGAAACCACAATTTAATTAAAGTTGCTGTAAGCAACTTTTAAATAACAGCAAATTTGGATTCATATTTTATTCATTCATTAAGTAACTGCTTCATCCTGGTCTGGATCTGGAGTCTATCCTCGTAACACTCACAAGGTGGAAATACACCCTGGGTTGCATGCCAGTCCATCATAGAACATGATGCACACAATCATTCACACCTATAGGCAATTTACTTTAGCTAGTCCACCTACCAGCATATATTTGGGAAGTGGAAGGACAGCGGAGAACTCAGAGGAAACTCATTCGGACATGGGGAGAACACGTGAAACACCACATAAAGTGCTGTGCAAATGTCTTAGGCACATGCAAAGAAATGCTGTAGTGCAAAGATGCCTTTAAAAATAATGAAATTAAATGTTTCTACATTTAAAAAAAATACTATAAAGAGCAGGAAACAGTAATAAATGAAACAAAGTCAATATTTGGTGTGACGATCCTTCACTTTAAAAAAAAAAGTTTGTGCAGTTTTATAAGGAAATTAGCTGTTTTTATTTATTGTTTTATTGTTATTATTTAAGTTTTACTGAGCATCTTGCAGAACCAGCCACAGTTCTTCTGGAGACTTTGACTGTCACACTTGCTTCTTATTTTTTGCAGCAAAACCCAGCAGCCTTCATTATGTTTTTTTGTCTAAAATGTTTTTGTACTGAATCAATAATGTAGAAGTCATAAAATAAAAATCTATAACAAAGTTTGTACTAAAAAATAGGGTGCCTAAGACTTCTGCACAGTACTGTAGACAGTAACTCAGGATCGAACCCTGGAGCTGTGAGGTGGCAGCACTACCTGCTGCACCACCCTGCTGTCCACTTTACATTTTGATGATGTGAAGTAAATGTCTCTGGGATTGGCCTGTGCTCTTTAATCAACAACCAAAAGTTCAGTTAGCTGTATTAACCAATCAAGAAACTACTTTGCAATTTAAATGGTCCTCCCTGCCTATCAATAAAAAGGATAGGATAGGGTAAATAAACTGAAAGGAAAAAGGTCTGGTTCCACTGTTGCCAAATATGCCTTATTCATTCATTCATTCATTCATCTTCAGTAAGCGCTTATCCTGGCCAGGGTCGCAGTGGATTTGGAGCCTATCCTGGGAACACTGGGGGCGAGGCGGGAAAACACTTCGATTGGGACTCCAGTTTATCACAGCATATATGCCTTATAATAAGTAAATAAAAAGTGCTGCAAATATCTGCTGCGGTTTGAAAGGGCTTTGAAAACTGAGGCCAGTTGCATTCTCCTCTGATAATAATTGAGAGATTATTTCGCTCGGTAGATTTTGGTTTAATTTGTTATACACTCAAAGTGTAACACATCATAGTTAACTAGATAAAACTCAGCACTTGGATGTCTGCCGGTGTTTAACTGTGAATAATACTTGCGTGACTGTAGCTGGCAAAAGTGCTGCTGTGGATGCAGACTAAGCAGTTACATAACTAGTTACTCCTACAAATGTAATTGAAGCGTTACTGTTTCTGGATCTGGGATTAAGTGTGTAACTGCTTGCATGGAATAAAAACATGCAGTCACACTGGTTCTTTCTGGATCATGATACATGGTGCAGTGTGTGTGCGTGTGTTTAGAGGGTTCGAGGGCATGGGGCTACACAAATGTGGTGACCCCCTTCTGTGGCGAAATCTGTCTGGGTAGAGGTTATGAAAATTGCGATATTGCCCAAAATACCACCCCAAATACAGTATATTACAGACTTTAATAGTAGGAAAAACCTACATTTATTCTCATTTTTTTTTCTCACAGATTCCTCTATACCACAGGAACATTGGTTGTGGCATTTTCAAGTAAAGGTAAAAAAACAAAAATGGGACACTAAACTTATTATACTCAAATAACCAGCTAAGCTGATAAGATAGTTTCACTTTTATTTCACTTTTATAATTTCACTTTTTTAATTTCTTTTTTTTCTCTCTCCAGCTCTCTCCCTCTTGCTCTTCCCTGCTCTTTCTTTCATTGCTGTGGGAGGCATTTTGTTACTTCTCACAAACATGCAGGTATTAAATGTAATAGATACTGTACATGTCAGCACATTCGTATTGAGTGATACCAAACTGTGCTGAGGAAGAAAAAGTTATTCCGACTTCAAGATGGCCACTACTACTGTCTTTAGCTAGGTGATGTTCTTAGGTTCCTTTTTTATGGATATGTCATACAGTATCAGAAACCACATACAGTACGTCTGTTTGAGATTAGTTTAAGGCAAATGTGCAATATGATTTAGGCATGGAGGTTGCACAGTGCTGAACTGTTAGTTAAAAGCTTACCTTACTTATTAGCAGCATTAGCTTAATGGCTTGAGAGCAAAACTAAAGATTCAAAATTTGGATATCAAACCTGATTGGTTGATGGACTACATTTTAGGGTGGGGGGACACTGTGCACAAATTTTAGATAAACTCATTCTTTAAATGTCACTAATACAAATAGAACATTAATAAAACAAACACTAACAATAAAACATGGGGCATCCTGTCGTAGGAAAATAATCAACATAGTGGAGAGCCATTATAACCCTGAAGCTGATTATTTTCCAATAACGGCACACCCTAAAGTATTTTATTCCTCTTATACTGCAGCAATTTGCCAGTGATTACATTTATTAATTATTTAAAGAGCAGCACATCATATTTTTTATTAAAAAGCTGCGGGTTTTTTTGTTAGTTACGTTTAATTTTGTGGAAAATCCACAAAACAAGTTAGTTCCTGTTATGACGTATGTTCTGGCAGCTATAAACAGTTACTCCCTCACCAACCTTTGTTTATTTTCTCTCTTTTGACGTTAATAAAAAAAAAAAGAGAAACTCAGAGAAACTGGAAAGTGCAAAAAGTCTTCTTTTCTGACGACTTTCCTGTGGTAGAAAACTTAACCCTCTCCTTACGGAACGCTTCGCG